CCCACAACACACAAAAAAAACAATTAAAGAAGAAACATTTAAAACGCCTGATTTAATCATTTTAATAAGAAAGTGGGATTCACATATTAAAATCTACTGATTTACACAGAATAACATAAAAAACCAAAAGGAAATTGAAGGAAAAATGAAAAACATAGAGGTAAAGATAGAAAGTTTACTTTACAAATGGGGCATACGACTTTGAGACCAACAGCTCGGGCTTCAAGTTGAGACCCTTTTGATTTCTGATTCTTCTCCGCATTTTTTTTCTGTGCTTCGATCTTTTGCTTCCCCCTCGTCATCTCTCTCTCTCTCTTCTTCTTCTCTCTCTCTCAAAAACACTGTACGGCCACAACACTCCGTCAGTTCCGTCTGCTGTTGTGAAAATCGAGAGAAACGTATTTATTTTGAATTTATTTGTGGAGCATATTAATATATTCTTTTTTAATAATATGGGTGAAAAGAAACATTTTTAAAATAGAAGTTTTATTTCGTGTCTCATACAGCTAGTGTAAGTTGCATGAGGCTCATTTTTGTCTCACAAATTTGTGAACCCCAATATTACACTTCTGGGTCTACAAAATTGTGAGACAAAAAAGTTGTCTCGTACAACTAGACACAAAATAAAATTTTCCTTTTTAAAATGTAGTAATATTTTTTTTAACCAAAAATGATTGTTCACTCATGGAATTTTGACCGACAAAATAGGTATTAATAGTTTGGTGTGACCGGTTGCTTTTAGAAATTTATATTATAGTTATTGTATTTTATGTATAATTAAAGATAAGCTTTTTATAACATTTATGGTTATTTCGATTTTTCTTTAATATTAATATATTTTAATTAAATTTTGATATTTTCTAAAATCACGTAAAATCACACTATTATTAAGATGTCTTATTTGATGTGTAAAATAATAGTAACAAATTTTAGTGGTTTGGATCGGTTTGTACCTAAAGAAAATCAAACCAACTAAGTTGAATTTTAATAAAAATATTTAAGACGAATCAAATTATTTTAACTAATGGTTTTCGAATAACTAATATGCTCGGGAAAAAAAAGGGAAATCAACTATCTATCTATTTATATTTATATCTATATTATTATAAAAGCATGAATAATGTAAGCTAAATATTGAATGACTAAAATATTCTTAAAATATTGATCGACTTTAATAATCTTAAATATTTATATAATTTAAGGATATAATTGTAAATCACCGAAGACTATAATTCTATTATGATTTAAACTGTATATACGCCCAGCAAAAAAGAAGGAAAAAGTTGAAGGTGTCCAGACTAATTTTGGATTCATCCTCCCGCACTCTAATATTTTATAACAATATAATATACAAACCAAAAACACAACAATATGATATACAACTCAAAAACCCAACAATATGATATACAAATCAAAAGAAAACACCAAGTCGGTTGTGTTTTTATAAAAAAGGCCTTATGTTTTAGAATCATAAGTTACGGTGAATTTTCTATTCACAATTGTTAGATTCTGTTAATTCTATATGGTCTACTTTTGAGGGTCTTGATGTTGTCACAACCCAAAATTCCTCCGAAGGAGTCGTGCTGGCACATAGTCTCTAAACTAGGTAAGTCTAACATTTACAGAAATAACATTAATATTTACTAACTTCAAATTAAATAACTCGCAAGAAATCCTAATTCTCAAAACCGGTGGTACGAGTCATAAGCCTTTCTAAGAGTAATTATACAAAATAAATACAACATTGTTCCAGAACGAGAAGGAATCAATGGAACGTAAATACAAATGAAGGTGACTCTGAGGCCTGCGAACGCAGTAACAGGTTACCGTGAGTCTCCACCGCGACGACCCGCACAACTACTATCGATCAATACCTGAATCTCTACACAAATATGTACAAAAGTGTAGTATGAGCACACCACGGCGGTGCCCAGTAAGTATCAAGACTAACCTCGGTGGGGTAGTGACGAGGAACAGTCAAGACACCTACTGGTCAAATGAAATGAACAGGATATGATAATAAAACATTGAGATAAAGGTAACGAGGTAATATCAATAGAAAAAAGAAATCAAAATACCAACAGTAAGAACCATAAAGGGAGAACACGGGTAGTAACGAACGGTAACCAAGTAAATCAACACTGACATAACAGGAACAGAGACAGGTAATAATGTATTCAATTAAAGAAGGAGATGCCCACTCAATCAATCATATCATGTCTAATATACAATCCTGACCATCTCAATCATCGGTTTCTCATATCGTAATCTTGACTTCCGAACCTTCCGTACGCATGGCACCTTGTGCCCCCATATTTTCCATCTCACTTTTAACAACAGAATTCACATGCTATACAATACATAATGTCCGTACAATACACTCGATATGTCCAAGAAGTCTCATTTACCTAATACAAATAAAATTATAATTTCTAAACTAATCGGTAAAGCTAGCGAGAAAAGATGAAATTGTTTCTTTTGAAATCATTTGAGTAAAGAAAGTACCCCTTTTAATTTAAAAATCCAACATTGAATGGATTATTACCTTAACATAAGATTTAATAACTTAAAACTTAGTAGAAATTCCTTTTTATGTAAAATACAATCTCATGCGGTTTAAGGGAGTATAATTGAGAAACTAATTGAATTACGGCTGTAACAATTATTGAAGTTTGAAGTATTGGAGTATATGTATATACATAAATATAGTAATGTATTGAAAATATTGTAGATTCTAACAAGGATCACAGCAATAAAGGAATTTAAACAGTTTAAACACTTGAATTGATAACAACAAATAAACACAGCAGCAGAAAGTGCACGGCGTCACCCTTCGTGCTTTTACTCTCATTCTCACCATAAGAGTCAATATTCACTTTTATTCTTTCTTGGTGCGGCATGCAACCCGATCCCAATCATATAGTACTGTTGCAGCGTGCAACCCGATCCCATATAATATTGTTACGGCGTGCAACCCTATCCCATATAATATTATTGCGACTTGCAACCCGATCCTAATATACAAGTCAACACCAATCACAAAAATATCCTGGTAAGGGAACAATAAGAAAACAACCATATCCCGACAAGGAAGTCAACAACAAGAATAAACACATCCCGGCAAGGGAACTAACAGTAAGGATTAAATATGTCCTGGTAAGGGAATGAGCTATAACCAACCTTGTACCGACAATTAATTTCACAATGAAACCTCAACTAAACAACAAGACATAATAAGCACGTGATAACTACACCGGTAACCACAACAATTGGACATGTAACCTATTTGCATGAAGTCATAGAGGAACTCACAATCAAAAAGTATCAAAACAATAAGGAAGACAACCACTTCAATTAAGGCAATTAAGGGTCAATGCAACACGTAGGAATTAGAGGAAAGCTAAACAATATCATATGGAGCATATAGAGATAATTTAAGCAATTATTAAATCCAATCATAACGGAATACTCTACATATATTGAACATAAGGACCTAAGAATCTTAGAGCGTATTTCCCACAAATAAGTCTGAGCACACAGTCGTTACCTCGCATGCACGGACTACAATTAGCAAAGAAGACTCAATCCTAAGGGGAAGTCCCCCCCCCCCCCNGGGAAGCCCCCCCCCCCCCACAAGGTTAGGCAAGATACCTACCTCAAAGACGATAAATCAATACTCTAAAATACACTTCTCGGGTGAAAAGACCTGCAGACGGCTCAAATCTATCCAAATTAACTTCAAAGCACAAATAAAACACATAAGAAACTATTCTGGATCATAAAGTCTCAATCTTTATCAAAATCCAAAAATTGATCCAAAAGTTGACCCCCGGAACCGCGCCTCGGAACCCGACAAATTTTACAAAATTCGAATACTCATTCCAATATGAGTTCAACCATACAAAATTTATTAATTTCCGATACCATTTGGCCCCTCAAATCACAATTTTTTCATTTTAGGAATTTTCTTCAAAAACCAACATTTTACTCAACCCAAATCACAAATTAAATGATACAAATAAAGACAAATTCATAGAATATAATCAATTCTAGGTGAAGAACACTTACCCAATCGTTTTGCTTGCAAAATCAACAAAGAATCGCCCAAAACCGAGCTCTAGAACTCCAAAAATGGTGAAAATGACAAACCCTCGGAATAGAGTACTATTTATTTTGCTCAGGTCTTAAAGCATCGCGAACGCGGAGGAAGTATCGCGTTTGCGAAGAAGAAAAAGGAAGGCTGCCCAGGTTATTCATCGCGAACGCGACAGTGCATCCACGAATGCGAAGAAAGGAAGTCTGATGGTCCAAAGACTGCTCTTCGCGAACATGTGAACTTGTACGCGAACGCGAAGGGTGGGATGGCATAACTACGTGAACGCGATGGACGGATGCGAACGCGATGAAGGAAGAGATAGAGCTTTGCGAACGCGAAGAAGGAATTCCAGGTGGTCAGAACAAAGCTTCGCGAACGCAGAAGGCGGTTCACGATCGCGAAAGAGGATACCAAAAGCAGAAACAACAATTCAAAAACAAAGGAAAATGACCAGTAGCACACCCGGATCACACCCGAGGCCCCCGTCCAAACACACAAACAAGTCATATAACCTAACACGGACTCGATCGAGGTATCAAACAACGTCGAAACATCAGATCACCCCAAGAATCGAACTTAGGAACTTTCAAAACTCGTGCCAAAACCTATCAATTCAACCCATAATGATGCCAAATTTTGCAGACAAGTCCAAAATGACATAACAGAGTTGTTCCAACTCTCGAAATCGCATTTCAACCCCGATATCACAAAAGTCAACTATGGGTCAAACTTCTCCATTTTCCATACTTCAACTTTTCCAACTTTCGCCAAAACGCTTCAAATTACCCTGCGGACCTCCAAATCCGAATCTGGGCGCGCGCCTAAGTCCAAAATCATCATACGAAGTTGTTGAGATCACCCACGACTCATTCTGGGGCCATTTACTCAAAAGTCCAATTCTGGTCAAATTTTTACTGTTTAAACTTCCAAAACTAGGTTCCTTCTTCTAATTCAACTCCGATTCATCCAGAAACTGAATTCAACCATGCACACAAGTCGATATACATAATGTGAAGCTGTTCGAGACCTCAAACTACCAAATCAATCGAAATTGCTCAAAACGACCAGTCGGATCGTTACAGATGTATGCATTCTGGATAAAAAATTATATTTAATTATGTTGTAAGGATGACTATGTTAATTTGTAGTCCATAAAGTTGTATTTTCTTTTAATCATCTACTGTAGAGATTAACAGATAAATGTACTTAGAGTTTCAATTCGAGAATCGTAATTCCAGATATTAAAGGGTGAAATTTTTGGTGTTGCTATCCTAGCACCACATTTTTA